AAATATGAATAGTTTGATTACCTTCAAGTTGTTCAATTTTAACAAAATTTGATATATATGATCTAAGAGATATGAACTTTCAATCTAACGGTTGAATTTTTAAAATTCACATTTAATATAAAGTTATTGAACGGTGTAATACTTAGTAAAAGTTACACTGGTGTCGTTTGAATCCTCCTCATATATATATATATATATATATGAGTTAATCATCCATACACTGTCCGTGTAAAGTTTTTTACACTAACAATCAATTATATCTTTTAAATTATTTTATTTTTTTTATTTAATTAAATAAGCAAATAATATGTTACTATTAAAAGATATGATTAGTTATCAATGTATAAAAATCTTACACTGACAATATATAAGTGATTAACTCTTTCTATATATATATATATATATATATAAGCCACTAATAATAAGAAGAAGAAAAATTTAAATCAAGAACTTTTTAGTCTTTGAAATTTGAAATAAATATTTTTTTATATCAAATTCTCTATTGAAAAGAATTCTATTTGAATTAGATAAGATTATTATCGACACTAAAATTCTATCTGAGTATTTAATACATAATTACATATTCAAAATTAGATATCAATCATTAAGTTAAAAAGAATTTATACCTACTAATTCTTGTTTTTATATTAAATAATGATAAATTATGTCTTAAAATATATAAAAATAAGATATATTTTTACATAAATTTAAGTTTAACTCAATTTTATAAAATTAATTTACAAAATAAAATTATTTTTTATTTATGTATTATTTAATTATTTTATTTTTAATCGATGTAAACTTAAATTTTTTTTATAAAAAATTTAAAGAGAAAAAAAAAATTGGAAGTAGAGTACCGCGTGTTCCTGCGCGGAATCGCCAACCGAGCCTATTACGTATAAGCTGTGTCTTCGATCAGTGTCAAATGTCAACGCTCATTGACACAGTGATTAACTTTTTCTTACTTTATTATATATGCAAAAGTAAAGTAAGTGAAGTTATATAATTTTTTGTAAAATTTTTTAAAAAATACACAATTATTGCACGCCCACACTAACTTAATTGGTGGGAGAATAAAATGATTTTAAGGATTGGATTATTTATAAAAAAAAACATTTTATAAACATGTCTTTTCAATGTGATGATGATGTTTGAAAAGTGAAAAAATAAGTGTATATATATCATTGAATTTCTGTTTAGGTTGTCTATCATTGAATTGTAAATTATTAAAATTAGAGTGAGTTACACTTCTTTTCTCTATGAAATTAAATATTCTCTCCATTTAAAAAATGTTTCTATTTATTCATCTATCTGATAGTAAAAGGTGTTGATTGAGGACAACAATGACACGTGTTTGGTGCTTCAACAATGTTCTTATCGGGAATCAGTCGTAGGGGATGATCTGCTGGGTAAAATCGGCGAGCCTCCCTTACTAGACACGCTTGCTGTTTCAAGACGGTGGTGATACCTGCAAAAAAGACTCCGATGTTAAAGTTAATGTTTATGGATGTATAAGTAATGCACGTACCTTAGTGTGAATTAAAGTTTTATTGGGCTTTGGGCCTGAGATCAGTTATGATCTATTTGGATGTCGGACTGACATCGCCTAGCGTGTGTCTGAGATCGTTCCACGCTGTGATGCTGAGCTCGAGCTCAACATAGCAGTACTAATAGTACAAACAGTATAGAGCATTGGTGTTGTAAGCTTGAGCAAAAGCAGTGACAACAATGAAGCTTTATGCTATGTTTGATAATTGATAATGCAAATGTGGAGAGGAGGGAGAAGGAAGAAGAGAAAAGTGTGTGGAAATTGATTTTGAAAGTGTGTTTATTTGTGTGCAAATGTAAGTATATATATTATAACATAAAGTTGATAACTTCTGTAATAATTTTTTTTAACTCTGTCAAAATAAGTTATTTAAACAAAAAGAAGATTTAGTTTAAAATAAGGATTAAAATAAGACAGTTTTTTTTTTCTTGGGATGGAGTGAGGGTGAAAATAAAAATTATATATTATTTAAATTTTTCGACAATCCAATTTTTAACTATAAATCATAATGGAATGCATGTTTCTCTCCGAGTGAAATTAGCATCGCAAAATTTGATGTTTTTTAGAAAATTATAAATATATATTTACAATGAAAGCATCATGTTTTACCTGCAATTAGTAAGCTTAAAACTCAATATTTATTGAATAATTTTAAAATTAATTAAAATATTTAATAAATTACTTTAAATGTTCTGGATACTAATAAAATTGCATGGCGTATGGATGTATAGCATTAAAATCTCATGCACTACAGAACATTAATTAATTTACAAATTTTAGGGTTTATGATTGTATTATTGACGCGAAAAAAGGTTTATTTATTTTACTTTATGTACATATACATATTATCTCTATTTTAATTATATAAAAACATAAGTTTGTATTGATCTCATTTCTAAGTTTCCCTCAGCTTTTCAATAGTCTATTTTGAAGGCTACATGTGCGTCGAAGTTATAAGTTTTAAATTTATTTTTTCTCATATTTATAGACAGTGTTTGAAAAAGTTCATGAATAATTTATTTTTATTTATTTTATTTTATAAGTATTTATGAGAATGTTTGAATAAATTTATAAAATATTTTAGAAATAATTTATAAAATATTTTGAACTTATTTTAATATACTGTTCAAGTTCAATATAGTTTATTATGTAATTAATTATATAAAAATTTATTGAAAAATACTCAAGTTCAAATTTTGTTAACTAGATAATAATTTTTTTTAATTTTCATTCTTTCACTAAAAATTAGTTATATAGTTTTTTTTATTACTCTAAAAAATTTTGTTCTTCTTTGTTTTATTTTTTTTTTTTGTATTTCTTCCCCATAAAATTCACATAAAAAAAATTCATTAACTTTATTTTTTCTCTAAATTAGAAAATTTAAAATAATATTATTGTTGATATAAAATAATTTTTTTAATTGTAATTTTAAAAATATATAATTAATATTTAAAATTTTTAAATTTATGGTTCTTGATTTTTAATCATGATTCTTTATATAATTTATTTATCTTATTTATTAATAACTATTTTTTTAATAAATTAAAATTAGGTGAATGGTTACTAGTAATTTTTTTCATTTTTAATATTATTGTGATGTATATAATTTCATTTTTAAAAATTATTTGGTTATTTTTTATATTTTTATTTTGTTTTCAGTTAAAATTTAATTTGTAATATTTTTTTATTTTTAAAATGAGATAACATGCTATAAATGCTTAAATAACGATACATCCAAATATTTTAAAATTATACAAATATTTATTAATATGTATATTTAAATGTAATAACTTATTAAATTTTAAGTACTTATATCATAATATTTTATTACATAAAAAATATTAAATAAGTTATTTGTTTAAATCAGTCTTTAACTAAAATATTAAATAAAGGGATCTTTTGAAATAATTAACCTTTAGTTACGCTACTAAATTAGTAATTACAACCAGTTAGTTGTACTTTCTAAATTTTTTTATCAGCACCAGTTATACATTCTATGTGAATTTCCATTCCAACGTCGAGTAGCATAAATCAAATTCATTATACTTGTTGAATAACAAACAATTAAATACTTAAGCATTATTAATCAATCGATATCACCTTTTCTTTTTGGAACAAATCAATCGATATCACTTGAGATAGATATGGTTGTTGATTTAGAGAAGACATGCGAATGAGCCTAATTTGTCCATTTGCGCGTTTTCTGCTACGTTTAGATCACTCATCATCCAATAATTAATATAAAAACCCACTTTGCATTTGTAATGATCTTTAAGAAATATCCCAGAATTTGCAGCGTAAACTTCCTACCATTGATTCTAATTCTAATTAATGTAGAGGAAGTTAATAATTCCTTGCTGTGAGTGGACGGTATTAAATACTACAAATACTGACAAACATAAACTTTTGAAAATTTGTTCAACCTTCTCTATGGTATGATTTGCATTTTTAGGGTCTTCGCATTGAAAATATATGAGTATTTTTAAGATTTCAACATTGAAGACCTACTTATATAATTAACTAAGAAGTGAAATTCGTTAACTAAGAAGAGAGACCTACATATATAATTTTGTTTTCTATAAACGTTGAACCAATAATAGATAAATTATATGAGTTAATCACCTATACATTGTTAGTGTAAAAAAATTTTATATTGACAACCAATCATATTTAATTTTTTAATAGTGTTTTTTTTATTTTAATTTGATTAAATAAGTAAATGACATGACACTACTAGAAGATCTGATTGGTTGTCAGTGTAAAAAAACTTTATACTGGCAGTGTATAAGTGATTAAGTCAAATTATAAATAATGTGATAAAAAGAAATGTTTCCAAATGGGTAAATATTTTTATTAGCTTTTATTCTTTCAGTTTATTTCATCAAAATATATTTTGGTTTAATTTTATTAGCCATACATATAACGCAAGATTAAATCCCATAAATATTAATGTACGTACTTATTCTATTATTTATTGATTTTATATAAATGGCACATAATGAATGAATAAGATATTCTAGATTAAAAAAAAGTTTTTCAAAAAGATATTCTAGATAAATTCTTATAAAAGAGATAGAAGGAGGAATCAATATAAAATTCTGGAACTTTAGAACCAGATATTTATAAGAAATCATACATATATATCAAATGAACAATTTAGACCAATCTTTCATAATAATGTGTTTAAATTGATTTGTTTTTTTTATATATATTTTCATATCAATGCTAACATTTTTTTTAATGAAACACACATATATTATACAATTTAAATATTGCTTGTTACATAATGAATAAATAATCTTAGTTGTTATTGTATATTGTATCATTGGTGCGGTGCGTATAAGTAGTCAGTAAATCAAACAAATAGTTATACTATTCACCTAGGAGAGTGTAAACAAACTACAATTTATTGAATTGAAGCTTGAAATTGTTACATATATATCCCATATAATCCCAAATTAATTAGGGATTGAATGCAGATGATACAATCAAAGGTCTCTGAAAAACATAAATTATGTTGGAGCCTCTAACTCAGTTATACACTGCATATGGGTCAAAAAATTTAAAATAAAAAAATCACATGGTAATGCAAATTGTTGGGACCTAATTAACCAATTAATTAGGCTGATTAATTTATGGCAAAAAAAAATGGTTGATGTTAGAGCTAGGGAGTATATGCGTCTCATTTGATAGCATATACATGCCGAGGGAAAAAAAATTAAACGAACTTAATTATTAATATTGCAATGTCGATCGAGTCTAGTGATCAGTAGTCACAGTTTCCTCTTCATGCGCTTACACTCCTCCTCCTCTACCTCCATCAAGTTCACGATCACTGCATCTGAAGCATCTCTTAGAATCTCCGACCAGTCACTGAAAACCCATCAAAATCAAAATTAAAACCAAAACTCCCATTGCATTAATTAATCAAACAACTGAAGAAATGAAAGAGGAAAGAGAATTGTTTTGCTCAATGTAAAGCCAAATTTTCAATACTTCTACGATGACTCTTCCATTGACTATTAGTACTTTTAATTTGTTGTTTTTAATTTTTTTTCTTCCATAAAGTGTTATTATATTACAAAATATTTTCAAAATTAATAACTAATCATATCTTCTTTTTCAATTATATTTTACAAGAAACTTAGAACTTAAAACCTTATTTACGAAGAATGAGTTCAGTTTTACTCCAATCAACCACGTATTCATTTTAAAGTAATTAATATTTACTTATGAAGTTAGCAATTTTTTTTTGTATTTCAAAGTGTAGTACGTAATACATACCCTTTCAAAGGATCAAAGGTCAATCCCACAGTGTATTTGGCTTCCTCGAGAGCCAAACTGAATCTCTGAAGCTCCTTAGCAGGGCAAGTTCCGTTGTCCTTGACCACAAGCTGCGAAGGCTTGACGTCGTAGAAGATGGGAACGACCCTCTTCTTTGACTCCATGAGAAGAGCGAGCTCGTGGAGACAAAAATAAGAGTCACAATAGCGTGGCGAGAACACGGCCACGCCCACTTTGCACCCGAGAATGGCCCTGTCAATATGATCGAACAACCTGTCCCCAGGTTTCATGTTCATGCTGTCCAAAAACGACTTCACTCGCACCTTCGTCAAACGATCGTAGAGCAACCCCGCGATGTTCCTCTTCGTGTCGATCCCGCGGTGGTTTATGAACACGTCGCACGCAGGACGAGCGATTTTGCGGCACAACGTGGCTGGCAAACGTTGCATGGCTCCTGATTCGACAAAGAAATATGTTTTTGTTTGGTTCTACTGTATATATGTTCCCTAACCTACGTACTATGAATTGAATTGAATTTGTCTTTGTGGGTGGTTGATAGAGCAATATTAAGGGGAGTTAATGATGATCATGATGTGTGGGTGTGTGTATATATATATATATACATGAGAAAAGTTGTGGTTACGGGGTTTGATTAAAGACCAGTATCATAAACTTGGGGTTTGAATTTCAATGGGGTAGTCCATGTTAAGGTCTGGACTCGAGAAAATAGAAGGGTATTTGAACGAAAAACAGTAAAAGTGTTTGAAAAATTTGACTGCCCATAATACATGTTTGGAACAGTGCTTGTCCTTCAAACACGTTGGTACATAAGTTGGTCACTTTATTTTATGTGGGGAATCCGTTAACGCAGATTCGCTGACAAGGTCATTGTGCAGTGATTTTGCCTTACCTTTTGCGGGAAATTTAGAGGGTTGCTTCCTTTTCCCCCTATAAAACTATGTTAATTATACTTGGGTTTGAATATTAGACCTCGTATTATTAACGGGGCAAAATTTGATTATATACAATAACTAAATTCGGTTAGTTCAAATTTTAGAATTTTATTTTAGTAACATATGTTGATATTTATTCAACATTATGAAAATAATATTTTAATCTTATAAGACAACAATAACTTTAATATTATATATAAGTTTTATCCATTAATATAATTAAAATAATATCTATATATATAAATATATATAAAGCCAATCTTTAATGGATCATACACGTTAAGACAATATCAAAATATCTCGGTAGAGGTGATAAAATAGACCAACTCATTTAATTTTAGTTCATTTTGTCACCAACTCGTTAAAGAAAGAATGAAGCTTAACCTGTTGATCCACTTGTTGAAAGTAAACAAAAAACTTTGTTTATCCACTCAAATTAGAAAATATATTTTTTAATTTTACTATTAATTTAAATTGATAATTTTTTTTATGATAATTAACAAAATTAATCAAAGGACTCATGAAATAAATTTTTTCTTCAAATTTAAGACCACAACATAAAAATAATAAATCATAAATTACTAAAAATGATTCTTTTTCAATCAAGACGACTATTAATAATATTTCATCCACAAAATTATAATAGTTCTTAATAATTACAACATAAATTATAATAGTGATTTAATAATAAAACTATATCATGACAATTAAAAAGGACATACATAATAAATTAAAAAAAATATTTAATTCGATAGACTGACAAAATAATTAGTTTCAACTCAACAGAATATATTAAGTAAGATAATACAAACAAATTAATAAGCTAAAATATCTACATTTAATTCCTAACTTTTAGTCAATTGACAGGTCCACTCATAGATTGTGACCTATTTTACCATCATTTTATGAGACTTGTTAATTTAACCACTTATCATTTGATCATATATACTTAAATGTTGAATCCTTCAAATTTCTTAGCTTGTTCAATCCTTCATATACAAAGTATATGCTGAGATTGAATTAAGTCTACATTCAAATTCTAATATATATTTATATACAAATCAAACTCAATTGTTATCACTATTTCTTCACAGGCTTAATAAATTGAAAAAAGATACATCTATATCAATAACATTTTCACAATATTTTATACAAATTAAAGAAGAGTTGAAAAGAAAGTACAAAAGAGAGAAAATGTGGGATAAGATATAAAATAAGATAAATATAGAGAAAAAACAATGTTATAAAAATATTGTGATAATATAACTCGTAAATTTTATTAAAGAAAATTGAGTTCAACAGGTAGTCAAGACAAAAGACATCTTCAAGCAAGGAGTTCCGGAGCATAAAAAAATGTAACAATCCAACTTTAATTAATTTGTCATTTGTACATGTTGTGTAAATCATGCTCCAGTCTCGTGGTAACACATGCACCATCTAATATTTTTCAGACTTTGCTTACTTATTGTTTTCCTTATTTTCTTCATGATATTCTAATGTGTTGAAAAATTATGAAAATTCAAGACAAAACTCTCCATCTTCATTTGTGAATTGTGATGAATTGCCATCGAATTGGAATAGGTCTCAACGATCCCAAACCTAAAATTAGTCCGGGCGGGTGAAGCTGAGTGTCTTATTTGATATCTTAGTTCAAAAATTGACCATTCTAAATATAGGAAGGAATTGAATATTACGTACGTGGCTGTTGAAACAGTCCGATTGTTAGAATTCATAATTAAGAAAGGAAAGCACGAGAACGTAAGAGAAGGTTGATAGAGAGTTAAGAAATTTTGATATCTAACAGCTGAAAGCTAGTAATATATTTATATATATTCATAGAGTCGATTTAAACTATCTATAATGATTAATTAAAACTACTTAAAATCAGAAACATGATAAAAACTTGACTTCTTCCAATGTATATATATATATATATATATATAGTGTGG